TTTTTTTTTTTTGAGATAGTGTCTTTCTCTGTTGCCCAGGCTAGAGTGCCGTGGTGTCAGCCTCGCTCATAGCAAGCTTAGACTCCTTCCTGGGTTCAAGTCATCCTCCTGCCTCAGTCTCCTGAGTAGCTGGGACTACAGGCACCTGCATGACGCCTAACTAATTTTTTCTATTTTTAGTAGTCACAGGGTCACTCTTGTCAGGCTAGTCTTGAACTCCTAAGCTCAGGGCTTCCCAAAGTGCTAGGACTATAGATGGGAGCCACTGCACCCAGCCTTTTAAAAAAATTTTAATAGAAGTTAATACAGTGCTGGTTATTCGAAGTTACAAGAAGTCTTACATCCACTTGATAGTGCTTCAAATAAGATCTCTCATGAACAAACCTAAAAGCATAGTCTTATGGCCACTCTTTAGGGAAAAGGAAATAATTGATTTTTTCCCCTTGTCATCTTATTTCTTTTCAGGTTTTGAATGAAGAGTGTGATCAGAACTGGTACAAGGCAGAGCTGAATGGAAAGGACGGCTTCATTCCCAAGAACTACATAGAAATGAAGCCACATCCGTGAGTCAGGTTCCACTGGGCTCCCAAGGGTTGAGACCAGCCTCCTTGTTTCAAATACTGTTTTGAAAATTGAGGTCACTGGTATGGATGTCATGCCTTTTATTCTGTCTTTCCAGGGGATTGAGAAAAGGTATTGATGTTGCACATCCGTAATAGTGTATGATGATAGTGTAATAGTCAACAATAATACGTGTTTCAGATTGACAGTAACTGTTGGTGGTCTTGAAAAATAAAACAATCGTTTTTTGCAAGTCTCCTATTTTTCTTTAGACATTTGGGGCCAGATGTGTTTCATAATTCTGCATTTTTGAGGTTAGAAAGGGTACTTACCAGGTGGTTTTGTGTTTATATGATTGATGATCCTATAGAACAGTATCTTAATCTTTGTATCCCCAGAGCACTGTGTTTGGCATATAATGGTTCCCACCAAATGTTTATTCCTTCGTCTTTTTTTTGGAGATGGAGTCTCACTTTGTCACACTCTATAGAGTGCTGTAGTGTCACAGCTTACAGCAACCTCAAACTCCTGGGCTCAAGCGATTCTCTTGCCTCAGTCTCCTAAATAGATGGGACTACAGGTGCCCGCCACAACACCCAGCTATTTTTGTTGTTGTTGTTGCAGTTGTCATTGTTGTTTAGCAAGCCCAGGTAGGGTTCCAACCCATCAGCCTCAGTGTAAGTGGCCAGTGCCTTAACCACTGAGCAACAGGCACCAAGCCTGTTCCTTCATCTTAGTGTTCCAACTTCAGAGAGACTGAAATGTGCTCTCCTCCAGGCTTCCAAGAATGGTATACATCGGTGTGTGTGTGTTTTGAGCCAGAGTCTCCTTTGCCCTGGAATTGAGTGCTATGGCTCACAGCAACCTGGGCTTAAGCGATCTTATCACCTCAGCTTTCGAAGTAGCTGAGACTACAGGTGCTTGCCACCATGCCTAGCTAGGTTTGTTTTTTGGTTTTTGGTTTTTGTTTTTTGGTTTTTTTGAGACAGGGTGTTTGTTACCCTTAGTAGAGTGCTGTGGCATCATAGCTCACAGCGACCTTGGGCTCCAGCGATCCTCTTGCTTCAGCCTCCTGAGTAGCTGGGACTATAGGCACCCACTACAGTGCCCACCTATTTTTAGAGATGGGGTCTTGCTCTGACTCAGGCAGGTCTCAAACTTGTGAACTCAAGCAATCCACTGGCCTCCCAGAGTGCTAGAATTACAGACATAAGCCAGTGCTCCAAGCTAGTTTTTCTATTTTTAGTAGAGAGAGGGTCTCAAGGTGGCGGGTTTGAATCCAGCCCGGGCCCGCCAAACAACAATGACGGCTGCAACCAAAAAAAATAGCCGGGCATTGTGGCGGGCGCC